TGAGTGAGATCGTAGATTCGTTGATCCTTGACCTTCGTTGTGATTATGTACATGTAAAAGAGTATGATGTCTCTTTGAACAAATTGAGCAACCACGGGAATTACAATCACTTACCATGTGTTGTGTACCTAAGCAATTTAAGCACATACCGTGAGATTTAACAAATTCAAATTTTTCAACATGAGGACGTGACGAAAAATTAGTGCATCTATAAATTTTATGAGATGAGTCATTGCAATACGAACAATTTGTTCTTTGAGTTTTTTGAAGCATAGTAGTATTATTTTTAACCATATTTGAATGATGAGATGCTGTACGAGTATTTTTAGATTCAATTTTTTCCTTTTTAGGAAGATAGGGGGAAATCGAATGCAGTACTCTACATCTTTCTTCAATAATATCAAAAAACTCATTAAGAGTAGGTAATTGTGTTTTATCCCTTTGAGATTCATACTCGCGTTTTGTAACAAAATCTAACTTTCTGCAGAGAATATTGATAATCATAAGATGATCTGTTTTTATTTTAAAATTTTTTAAACTTTCAAAATGCTGTTTCATTTCTGTTATAAAATCTCTTAAATTTTGTGCACTGCTCTTAGATATTGGAGCGTAGTCTATAATAGCGTTTAGGTGTGAATTGATAATAGCCAAAGAATCATTATATCTTTTCTCTAATATATTAAGCGCGATATGAAAATTGTCATTAGTTAATTCTAATGCATCAATTAGTGATAAGGCTTCATCCTTTAGGGATAATTTCAAATACATTAATTTTTCTACATCTGAAATAGAATTATTATTTATCACTAGGGACGTGAATAAATCGAAAAAACTTTGATATTTGCTTTGGTCACCAGAAAATATAGGAACTTTTAGTTGCGGAAGTTTGGCGCGAGAGGGGTTCAAATTGCCTGAATTGATTATAATTTGAGAATTGGTTGGGCAGGTTGTTTTTTGGTCAGTTGAAAGATCTGCAAGTTTTTCTTGTAATCTCGCTAGATAGTCAAGATACTTTTGCTCGACATCAAAACGTTCATCCTCGTCTATATCTAATTTTTTCTCTATTAGGAGATTTTCAAGTTCATTTTGAGCTGTTTCAAATTTAATAAAATTTGTAGTCAAAGCGTCTAGTCTAGTATGGATTTGAAACTCATTAGTTTCGTTTGCTAAATTTGCTTCAATCCATTTGTATTGTCGAGTAAAAGCAGCTTTACATGTTCTAATATCTTTCTCTAAAGTATCCATATTTCTCAGTATATACAAAAGTCAAATTTTCAATTGAAAATACAATGCGAAATAGTGTCAAATTAGTTTGCGGAGAAATGAATGGCTACTTTAAAGCTTCAGAGATTATTTAAGGAACTATTCAAATATTTGTTTCCAACGGAAAGTCCGAAAAAATTATTTACAAAGTAAATTTTTGAGTTATATGTGAGTCAAAGTAGTTAGGATGAGAGAGAGAAACAAGTATTTGATTTAAAACGGCTGTACGATACAATAAACACCGTTTAAATACAAATAAATAAATACAACACACTACTATTATAACAATATTAAAAGATTAAAAGTACTTGCAACTAAAAGGCATAAATTGTTCTTTATTTTCAAAAAATGATTTTGTTACCTTATGTTCTTATTGAAACATTAACCAAATTATTTTTAAGCTGGTTGGGCCGGAGAATAACTTGAACTGCGTTGAGTCTGTAGAACTTCTTACCAGGCTCGATGACTACAAGTTGAGATGAATCGATGACAAAGGGTCTTCTTCTGTGGGTATACTTAAACTAAGCTGAGTGATGTGAGTTGTAAATTCCACTGAGGGCTGGCGACTTTTTCCCTTAACATCCGGCTCGAAGGACCATATGACTGGGGATGATGCTGCTGGCTACATCCTCATCACGAGTGCCAGTTCTTAAACTGGCCACAGCTCGGTTTTGGTTTAACTCTAGCTGCGTCAATAAAATAAAACTGCGAACTTTTGTATTCGTATATTACCATGAACAGGAACAGGAACACATTAACAACTATTCTTTCTATTATTTAATACAAGGTTTTTAATATAAAATATTGAGATTAAAAGAATGACTTTTTTTCGTTGACTTCTGCCCAAACAACAACTTGCCTAGCGACCGTATTCTTACGTCCCAAAATAATTGTGACGCGCGAATGTTGCGAAACGGGATACCCGGGTTGCTCATTAGAAATGTGTCGTCATATATTTATTGTCAAAATTCCTACATAGGGTATGAGCAGAGACTCACCCATACAGTTCACTTGATTTCAGAAATGTTACATAAATATTTCAAACGTTTCAAACATATAACATTTCAAGCACAAGTTTCTAAGTTTCTGAAATATTTCTGAAATATTTTAGTTAAATATTTTACTACGAATGTTTCTGAAACATGGTATATATATTACACCAAAGGTTACTAAACGGGTTATGTTGTAAAAGCCTAACAATTAATGAAGAATTTCTGATTTGTAAGAAGAAGAAGGGATAGGTAGTTATTTTATTTTTATTTCATCATGTCCCTGTCTAGCCACCAGCTAGAAACAAGCATATTATATTCTAAATAATTATAGATTTGAGTTGTTGGTTTTTGATATTCATGCGTTGTGAACTTGTTATATGGGAAGCAGAATATGTCGTTAGAAAATAAGATGATAACTACATAAATAATGCTTGCTTAGGTGGATCTTCATGTTTTGTTTAGACATGAGTATTGTTTTATTACTCGTATATTTAATTTAAAACAATAATTAATAAAAATATTGTTAATAAAATAATTTGAATAAATCCTTTTTAATTACCTATATTCATATTTTGTTTTAGATTAGTGCATTTAAAGGAATTGGTGGAAATGAAGCAATTTGCCAGCTTTGGGGCTGTGCCAGCAAAAATAACATCCAAGTTATTCAACGTTTCCAGGATAAAGTATTAAGAAACATCGTCGATGCATCCTGGTACTGCCGTAATACTGATCTTCATAGGGACCTTAAAGTGGAGACTGTTGAAACCACAATACAAAAATTTGCCAGTAGTCACCAACAACGACTGCTCCAACATGGAAACCTTGAGATTATTCAGCTCCTCAACAATGCCAATCTAATAAGAAGACTCAAGAGAACCAGGCCTTTTGAGTTAGTTCAGTGATGTTAGATTAAGGAGGTTATGATTGACAACCTGTGTTATTTTTAACAGGTCTGTTATTTTATAAACACACAGAAATAACAACCTGTTCACAAATAACGTGTCTGTTAAAAAATAACATTACTTGTTCATCATAATCCCGTATAACAGAGTATAGTGCTGTTAAGTGTTATACGTTAACGGTAGTGTAACTAAATAATTAGAGTACACTATATAGTGAGTAGTATCTTAGTTTATGAAGTTTTTCATCCCTAGATAAGTTAGGTAAAAATAAAATTGCTAATTGATCTTAATGATTAGATTATAATAATCGTAAATGCTTCTTTATTTGGAGCATTTATTGAAAGAAAAACCTTGTTGTTTCAAATTAGTACATTTAAAGGAATTGGTGGAAATGAAGCAATTCACTTCTGTACAGGGTGTCCCGAAATTAGACGGTCATATTTTAACAGCGTGATCTACATCCTAAAATAAGAATAAAAGTTCATATAAACATAGGTCCGAAAACGTTTCGTTTTCGAGATACAGGGTGTTACAAGTGAAGTCCTGATGGCCTATATTTTTGTAAATATTTTTTAAAATTTCTTTAGTCACCGGTTTTCCAAAGTAAAAAAAAATTAAATTTCTGATTTCACAGGCCTACTTATTATTGTTTACACTTTCGAATAACTTATCATGAAATTTTCAAATGCTTTTTTCTTGAAAATGGTGCGTCCTAGCGAGATGCAACAATAGTAACTTTATTATAAAGAAAATATTGGTTTTCCAAATTTTATAGTCAAAAATGGTAAAAACTGTCAACAAAAAAAATTTTACCCTAAGCCCCCCTAATTTACCCACCTATGAAGATGATCAAAAACTGGGGTTTAGTTCATTAGATAGAGCGTAAAAAGGTTAGCACTTGTACCAAATTTCCCTTAGTTATCTTTAAACGTTTAGAAAATATTTATAAAAGAGTGTCATCAGGACTTCACTTTTAACACCCTGTATCTCGGAAAAGAAACGTTTTAGGACCTATGTTTATATGAACTTTTGCTCCTATTTTAGGATGTAGATTATGCTGTTAAAATATGACCGTCTAATTTCGGGACACCCATGAAATATTCTTTAAAACATATTTATTTATTTGTTTATTTAAGAATCAATGTTTGAGTTGTGTGTATTTTAAATAAACATGTGTATTTTTAATTTTTAATTTTTTAGTCTAATAATATATTAGAAAAAAAAACTAGAATACATTTCTGAAATATTTCTATTTAATATTTCTAAAAGATTTTTAATTTTCATTTCAGAAATATTACACTGAAATATTATATTTAGAGGACATTTTTACGTTTTAGGCATATTTCAGAAATGTTTTTGGGATGTTTCGTAATATTTATACAACATTGCAAATGTTTCAATGTAACATTGTTGAAATATTTCCGAAATGTCTTTGTGCTGTATGGGTAGACTCACCGTTGATGGCCCTTAAAAATAACAAAGAAAAAATAAGCTGGCGAACTATCTAAGAGGATAAAGCCAAAAATGGGGAACAATTATAGGTATCAATTAATATTACACAGTAAAATGTATTAAATTTCCATAGCCACCCTGGATTTACAAAGAAACTGCACGCCATGTATGTTTATTTGTCAAAATCGCTTTTTTTCTTAGTAACTAGAAACAATTACTACTATACATTCAGGCTATTGGATTATGAGTTAATTATTCACTGATGTGGATTATAAATAATGAAGGTATCGCATGTGATGTCAAAAACCGTATGTCTATTATTTATAATAGCTGTACCTAAGTACCTAGATAAAGACAATATTTTAAAGAGACATGAAAAAAATTTACTTACTAGATATTTTTCTATTAATAACGACATGGTCGATGTTCACACTGATGTTCGTAGCAATACCATCAATTTGACTAGAAAAAAATAAAAATATTTTTAGCACCAGCATAACACACTTGATTTTTGTAATATCGACTAGTGAAATCTACACGGTTACAAGTTCTCGACCGACAACGCTCAACCCCAGAGAGCTCTCGTTATTCGCGATTCAAATTAATTTTCGCGCGCCTGTCATTTGTCACCTATAAGTAGGATGTTTGTTTATTTACATGTGTTTGTTTTGGGCAGGATTTTGTATTTGTGATTTTTTAGATAATATTCTCATTCTAATAATGTTATTGAGTTTCATTTAGTGTTAATTTAAGTTTAGTTTTCGTGTTTTGGTCACGCAAGTGTGAAAAATCACTTTCACACAAGTGGTGTACAATATTTTTCCTACGACCACAAAATAATTTTATAAAAAAAATGCAAAACTAGAAAATCTGGCTATAAAGGTTAGCTGGTTTTAGATTTGTTTTTCAAATGCCTTTTTGAATCATTTTCCAAGCGTTTTACATTACAGATAGTGTTTTGTCAAAATTAAAAATATTGTGATTCCATTTACAAACAATTCCATAGGATCATAAAGATAAAATAACATTAGTTACAATTGTTTTAAACAAATAAGTTGAACAATCGTGAACAAAAACTTTTTTATTATTAATGGTTACTCACTTCTTTACTCACAATTTTTTTCTGAACAGTAAATATAATAATACAAACTATTGTAGGGTGTAACGTGGATATTGGATGTTACAGATAATTAAATAAAGCACTGTATTAAGTTGATTATATTTGGATAATTAGTAATTGTAACAAATAAAATAAAGTAAATTGAACAAGAGTCAAATCGATCTGTATTGATCGCGGCAAACTTCACTCTCTGTCATTCGTTAGGCGTCGCACTCACGGGAGCTGCTACGCTTACAAGGGGTTATAATATGATAATTTGAAAAAGTCAGACTGTAAACCATTTACGCTATCATGGCTGTGTGATTTGGCTTATCTTATTAAATATGTATGTGAACCAGAAAAAACAAAAATAATGTACGTAGTTACTTTAAAATTATTTTAATAATTTGTTAAAAAGAAATATCCAGGATCTATTTTTAAAAATTAATGTTAACAATTTAATCATCAAATCGACTTTACTATTAAAATGGACATTACATCAATCAGCATATAAATTAGACGTCTGACTTATTTGAGAGCTTATGCGGAAAGTAAATTCATATTCACACACGTGTGGAAAGTAAATTTATCCACAAGCGTGTGATATAAGGCACTTCCCATAAGACTAAACAGTACGATAGGTGTCACTTTCCTAAGTGATCGTAGGAAAAATATTTTTCCTACGACCACTTAGGAAAGTGACACATATCACACTATTCCTATGGAAAGTGCCCAATATCACACGCGTATGAATAAGAATTTACTTTCCACCCGAGTGAGAATATGTTACTTTCCACAGTAGTTGTCACAAAATGTCAAACACCTAATTTCTATTTTGATCTATGTAATGTCCATAATAATACTAAAATCGATATGATTGTTAAATTATTGAAATTGTTGTAAATTAGATCCTAGATATTTATCTTTAACAATTATTTTTAAAATAATGTTTGCTCTTTATTCTGTTTAAATACATAACCGATTAGATCATTCAATTGACACAAGGGCTATTAGCTCAGGTGGTTAGGACGTCGAACTTATCAACTTTGCCATTTTTCGACCGCGTTCAAATCCTGGCGGGGCAGATTTTTTTTTTGTTTTTTTTTTTAGTTTAGAAAATATATACGATTATTTTTGATTATTTTTTTAAATACTTTTTAATTATTATAGTAATAATAACCTTGGTTTTACATTTTTCTTATGACATTATTTTGTGGTCATAGGAAAAATATTGTACATCACTTGTGTGAAAAATGTCACTTTCCACACTCGTAATGTAATATACTATATCATGTGTATGACTTAATTTGTTTATTCTATCTTTATTCTTATATTATGAAGTGAATTATACGTAAATGGTAATGAAACCGTCACAAATCATATTGCAGTTTGATTCTAAACAAAGTTTTGCAAAATTTCAATATTATGAATTTTTAGATATCCATTTATCGTAAGAAACAAAATTTTACGACTTACGCTTGAAAAATAACGAATACTTTATTTTTGATTTTGACATTAACACCATATAAATTGGAATTTGCTGAGGGCTTTTTCGCAGATTTCATTTTCAATATAAACACTATCACACATTATAAGAAATAAACAAAAAGGTAGTTCACTCGCGACAGTCGTACACAAAAATATCGCCCTATAGTGAATACCAACCGTTCGAGATTCTTAAATCTAAAGAAAGGTTATTTTTTGTAACAGACTGTACACACAACACATGTGATCCTATATACAAATATGGTATTATATCGCGTAAATTCCATCCGGCAACGTCGCAAATATATTGTGAAACGTCAACTATATTCCTAAACTAAAATAAATGTAAATATCAAAATGTTTCATTGTCAGGATCAATTAATTGCGAGATAAAGGAAAATTTGTTAAGCAGAACGTACTCAACAATCAAAAGCTTGAAAAATAACCTGTGCAGTAGTCGCATCGTGGAATTACTAGAGTTGGGAAAACATTTAAAATGTTGCTGGTGTGAAAGAGTTCTTTCTCTTGAAAATATTACAAATGAAACACGAAAGGGCCTTTATTTAATTTTAAATGTTAACTGTAATGAATGTAATATTGAAACTATAGTACCTACGGACAAAGGTCATGCAACAAAAAGTGAAGTTATATAAGCATTCAGATGTCAACACTAAAGCAGTTCTAGGTAAATTTAAAAAAAATACATAAGTATTTGATATGTTTATAATTTTTTTATTATAATTAATATAATTTTATTTATTTAAAGGTTTGGTCAAACTGCTTTAAATAAATTTCTGGCTGTCATGAACGTTCCTACGATATCATCAATACTACAGAAAATCATTACTTTTGTTTGTATTTTTTTATGACTTCCTCATACTAGTAAGTTAAAATTTTAAATTATTTTATATTCATTTTTTTGTGTAACTGTATTTTATTTTGAAGGCATGTTTAAATAAAATTATATTCATCTTTTGCATATTTATTTAATTGTTTAAATACAAGTAAATTTAAATTGTTAAATCATATCAACCTAAAGTATAAACAACGTCCCTTCCCAGAAGGCCTCGATAAAGTGATAAACTTGACCTGTCCGCGGCAATAAAAAGGTTGAGAAGCACTGATCTAACAGACATTTGAATTAGCGGGCGTTGCACATACTTTGATTACTATACCAGGCAAGAGAGAGGTCCGACACGCCCAACATAGGGCGCGGCCATTTTGAACCCTGTGACACAGTTTACAGCTAAAGAATCAGATCGCTCACTCTGCGTTGGCACTTTGGATCTCAATGTTTCAGTTTATACACTGTGCAACTCGGATAATACAATATATGACAACCGCTTATAATAAAACAGCAGTCTTCTGCGTATCCTGAATTTGTATCCCTGGAGTGGATGTTATTTTGGAACTTTCAATGGTCCGAGTGAGCTAACTGATTCTTTAGCAATAAACTGTGACTTCAAAAATAATATTCACTGACACTGACAGCAGCAAGCAAAATATCAGGTGCGTTTTAATCATCCGCTTCTGCTTCCGGAATTGTCGGTTTAGTCGTTTTAACCCACATACTTTGATTTTCTTTTACTATACGGAGAATGATCGCACTGCGCAGCTTTTTGAGTGCCTTTTAAAAGGAGATAGAAAATTCCGCCATTCTGAACCCTTATTACGTGTTGGGGGGCGTCCATTAATTACGTGAGGTGTTCAAGGGGGGGGAGGGGATAAAACTAAATCTTTCTAAATCTCACTTGGGGGGGAGGGGGGGTTTTCGTAAATCTCACGTAATTTTTTTTCTAGTAGAAAACGGTGTAAAACTGCGTTAAATTATAGTAATAGTATTTCTAGAATAAAATATGGAAAAATCTTATAATTATGTTTATTTATTTTTATTAATTTCCATTTAAGTATTTATCATTTAATTTTATTAATTTGATTTTAAATAATTGCAACACTCTCAAACACTAGTCTTTGCTAGTCTTATATAAAAGTAATGGAACATATTGTGTTTTTGTTTTTTTTTAATAATCCAACACATTTACACCCAAAACACGAATTTTGAAAAATCTCACGCGAGATTAGGGAAGGGGGGGAGGGAGTTAAGGAAAATCTTACCAAATCTCGCCAGGGGGGGAGGGGGAGTCAAAAAATCCTCAAAAATACCTCACGTAATTAATGGACGCCCCCTTGCCTACATCTTGGCGCAATATTTTTAATAGGTGCGTTTTAATCATCCGCTTCTGCTTCGGAATTGTCGGTTTTCTTGTTTTAATCTGACAGGTTAAAACGACTAAACCGACAATTCCGGAAGCAGAAGATTAAAACGCACCTGATATTTTGCTTGCTGCTGTCAGTGTCAGTGAATATTATTATTGCTAAAGAATCAGTTAGCTCACTCGGACCAGTTGAAAGTTCCAAAATAACATCCACTCCAGGGATACAAATTCAGCATACGCAGAAGACTGCTGTTTTATTATAGGCGGTTGTCATATATTGTATTATCCGAGTTGCACAGTGTATAAACTGAAACATTGAGATCCAAAGTGCCGATGCAGAGTGAGCGGTCTGATTCTTTAGCTGTAAACTGTGTCACAGGGTTCAAAATGGCCGCGCCCTATGTTGGGCGTGTCGGACCTCTCTCTTGCCTCGTATAGTAATCAAAGTATGTGTTTTAACCTGTCAGATTAAAACAAGAAAACTGACAATTCCGAAGCAGAAGCGGATGATTAAAACGCACCTATTAAAAATATTGCGTCAAGATGTAGGCAACACGTAATAAGGGTTTAAAATGCCGGAGTTTTCTATCTCATTTTAAAAGGCACTCAGAAAGCTGCGCAGTGCGACCATTCTCCGTATAGTAAAAGAAAATCAAAGTATG